GTTGATTGCGTACTGGACAACCCTCTCTGCCATTGGTTTGTAGTGTTCATTAAAATCTTTGTGACGGAGACTGTCGAGTACTTCAAATCTCTCTGCTTTGATGTTGACACAAATCATGATGTAGTGCTTGTTATTACAGTAAGGGAAGAACCACTGCAAAATAATTTTACCACAGTATACCATATGGTAAGCAGTTGCCATATAAGCGATGAACAGTAAGTTAAGAACCATTGTAAACTAATTTTACCACTATATACCATATGGTAACCACTGCAAAAATTGTGGTGAGATACTTACAAGGTTACATTCTGTGAAGCTGAGGTTTTTTGCCCATTCTTTGTTGGTGATGTCCAAGTCCACTTTGTTGTAGTAATCGTCTGGAGATAGTACAGGATTGCCACTATCAATGTCCAGTTGGCAGTCACCCTGAAAGGTTGTGGTTGTTATTATGTGTTTTATATATGTGTTGTCTAAGAACTATTGACAGAATATGGGTGGGTTTACTTACTGCCAAAGATGTATCGAAGAACCACCTTTTGAATTTTCCTTTTTTTGCTTCATTCCTGTTCATTACATCTCCATACCAGTCGACGACATCAGTTGTGATTTCACAGCCAATGTCAATCAAATGTACTGACTCCCTTTTCAGCAAGAATGTTCCATCCTTCCTTTTAAACATTATCTCATCACTGTATAAAAGCACATCACAACAGGACGGATGGTTTACTTTAATTTATGACATCAAACAATAGGTTACCACAACAAAACCATAGCTTACCATATCTTACCATATGGTAATAAGTAAAACACACCAGCTTACCACATCTTACCATATGGTAATAAGTAAAATAGAACAGGAGTTATGGTTTAATCCATTCTTTAACAACAAACCTTAGCTTACCACATCATACCATATGGTATTAAACTAAAACAAAACAGGACTTGTGCATTACTACATTTTGTAACATTAAACCATAGATTTATCTAATTTTACCATATCTTACCACATTTTACCATATGGTAACAAACTAGATCACTACAGTAAAATCATATAACAGTAGAAGTTTTAAGATGATGACTTACCTCTTGACAAATTTCTTGTTCTTGCATCTTATGTACTCCAAGATGTTGGTGAACATATCATCAGGTGTTGTTTGTGTTGGTGTTGACCATTCAACTGGTGTTTTTTGTGATTGTGGAGCAACTGGATCAACAGTTGGAGAATTCAGGTCCTCAAGGTAAGCATCTATGCATTCACGGACTTCCTTGAGCTTCTCTTGGCTGTTTGTGTACAGATTTGACCATATAGCATATGACGCCGTCTGTGACTGGGTGCTTTGTGGGTGTGCTGGTGGTGGTGTTGTTCTTGCCTTCTTTTCATATACATTCAAATTCTTCACCACGATTCTTCTTTTGCGAGGCTCTCCTGGTTGTTCGGTTGCCGTGTTGGTAGTCAACTTCGTTGGTGTTGTTGGTGTTTGACGGTTGAGAGGGCTGAGATCAAAGGATGGAATGTCGTCTTCCCTTGTCACTTTAGGCTTCTCAGCATCTTTGGTTGTCAGTTTTGGAGCCTCTTCTCGAACAACATCATCTGACACCGTTTTCTCGCTGTCAGTTTCTGGAGTCTTTTGCGCAGCTTGCCCTGTATTCCCTTCTTCTGTTATTTCCTTATCAACTTCCATTGGATTTGCTGTTTTGGTAGCTCCTTTTTCTCCTGTTTCTTTTGCAGATGTCTGTTCTGGAACTGCTTTCGGGGTGTCCTCTTGTTGTGGTGTTCCCTGATTCAGACCTTCTTGAACATATTGTTCTGGTGGTTCTGTTGCAACTTCCCCCAGTGGACCTCCTTCTTTTGGGATGCTTTCCCTATTCACAGCTCCTGGATCAGAAACATCTTGCTCCTTTTCTTTTGGCTTCGGTGTAGATGCAGCAAGATCGACTGTAGATGGTTGTGAATCATCTTCTTTCTGTGTTTGCTCCTCCTTCTCCTCTTTGTTCTGGTCTATCTTTGCCTGTTTGAATATTTCATTGAGTGTTTTATTCAAACTGGCATTCATTTCTTCATCATTCTCTTCTTCATCATCTTCACACTGAAATTTTTCTCCTTCTGTTGGCTGAACATTTTCATCACAGCTTTCTTTCGCAAGATTCTCCTTGTGTCTGATCAGATTGTCAATTTGGCTTTTGTACTGGTCTTTGATTGCTTTCATCATTGCCTTCATTGATGCTGCAAGCAGTTTGATTGCATTCTCAGCCTGCATAATGGGAGTTTTTGTAAGATACCATGGTGGTAATACATGGTATTGGCAATTATTATCACTATTCTGCATTTTTTATAACATGAAACTATATCTTACCACACCTTACCATATGGTAACAAAGTAAAACAGAACAAGAATTATGGTTTCCTCCATTTTTATAACATGAAACCATTGCTTACTACACATTACCATATGGTAACGTATTAAAACACAACAAGACTTATGTTTTCCTCCATTTTTATAACATGAAACCATAGCATACCACACCTTACCATATGGTAACAAACTAAAACACAGCAGGACTTGTTGTTTTTTTGCTATTTTTAAAACATGAAAGCATAGCTTACCACACATTACCATATGGTAACAAAGTAAAACAGAACAAGAATTATGGTTTCCTCCATTTTTATAACATGAAACCATTTGCTTACCACACATTACCATATGGTAACGAAGTAAACCACAACAGGGGGCTTATGTTTTGCTCCATTTTTATAACATGAAACCATAGCTTACCACACCTTACCATATGGTAACAAACTAAAACACAAAAGGACTTACGCTTAGTATTAATTGGACAACTGTAATATAGATAATTTGTACTTACTTGGTTGACTGTTCTGATATTCTTCAAATCAAAGTTCAGTGATGATGACTGGTCTGGACTTTTGTTTCTTTGTCTTTTCGGTGATTCATAGACTGGCTCATTCTCCTCTTCCTCATCAGCTGCACCATCAGCCTCATCGTCATTAATGTTGGCAAGCTTTTCGATCTCGTTCAACTCTTTTCCATTGTAGTAGCTCTTAATGTTCTCAAAGTTGCTATCAACATTGTTATCATCATAGTAGCTTACTGTTGGTGTTCGAAGCTGGGTTGAGAATGCCATTTCGTCCAGTTTGTACATGAAGCATACCTTTTTATGCAGATAGTTGTATTAGTTTTTTTCAAAGAGTATCATTTATATATAAAATATATGAGTAACAAGGTTGAAATGGCCAAGGGAATGGAGACTTACTGTAAGGAAGTGAAGATCTGCACTGACATAGAGCTTTGGTGATTTCAATCCTTCATTCATGTGTTTGAAGAAGTATTTGCACCAGTTGTAGCTGGTGAAATGTTTCAGTTCTTCGGTCTTCAAGTACTCAAGCATGTTGAGTTCAGCCATAGGTGCTGAAGTTGGACACAGCAAGCCTCCGGTGACCAGCAGAAAGAACAATTGCATCCATCTCTTAGTCAGTTTGGTTGTAGGAAGATCTTTTTCTACCTAACTTAGCTTTACCCTTGGAGTGGATGTTCCATCTACTTCGAGTAGGGTTTCTACTGCATAATCTGCTGCGTCATCCCAAGAAATCGTGGGAGGTACAACTTCCCTATCCCCCATCGGCAGACCATATACCCTATGAAAGTCGATTGGTGATATCTTCATGTGTGTCCCGTCAGGTAACTTGAACGATTCTTTCTCTGGATCGTATTTGTTCATTACGAACAGTGCAAAATGGTTGTTTATCTTTGTCTGCTTGATTGATATTAAGCCTGCTAGGCCTAATATGTCAAGTTGCTCTTTCCGCTCATCTGTTATTGACCTTGCAATTGCAGATATTCTTGTTGGGCTGCACCTTGTGCGAAAACTGTGTCTTGGTTTTACCATAGTGTACCTGAATGTAGAAATTAGTAATAGTCTGTTAGTATGCTTTTTACCATAATATACCATATGGTACGATAATGGTTTTCGACCATACGAAATCAAACCATATATTTATCTCATTTTACCATATGGTAATTACATCAAACCATGTCTTATAACATATTACCATATGGTAACGAAGTAAAACACAACAGGACGTATGTTTTCCTCCATTTTTATAGCATGAAACCATAGGTTACCACACATTACCATATGGTAACAAACTAAAACACAGCAGGACTTATTGTTTTTTTGCTATTTTACAACATGAAACCATAGCTTACCACACATTACCATATGGTAACAAACTAAAACACAACAGCACTTATGGTTTTTTTGCTTTTTTACAACATGAAACCATATCTTACCACACATTACCATATGGTAACAAACTAAAACACAGCAGCACTTATGGTTTTTTAGCTTTTTTACAACATGAAACCATAGCTTACCACACATTACCATATGGTAACAAAGTAAAACACAGCAGGACTTATGGTTTTTTGCTTTTTTACAACATGAAACCATAGCTTACCACACATTACCATATGGTAACAAACTAAAACACAGCAGGACTTATGATTTTTTTGCTATTTTACAACATGAAACCATAGGTTACCACACATTACCATATGGTAACAAACTAAAACACAGAAGAACTTATGGTTTTTTGCTATTTTACAACATGAAACCATAGGTTACCACACATTACCATATGGTAACAAACTAAAGCACAGCAGGACTTATTGTTTTTTTGCTATTTTACAACATGAAACCATAGCTTACCACACATTACCATATGGTAACAAACTAAAACACAGCAGCACTTATGGTTTTTTTGCTTTTTTACAACATGAAACCATAGCTTACCACACATTACCATATGGTAACAAAGCAAAACATAGTTTTTTTGCTTTTTTATAACGTGCAATCATAGTTTACCACGCCATACCATGTGGTAACGAAGCAAAACACAACAGATTCTACACCAGTTCAGCAATGCATGCTAACGATTCGGTAATGTAGCAAGTTTTACTACAATTTTCACATGAAGAGTGACTGAAATACTGTTTCTATTGTTCTATGGATGGATTTCGAAGAAAGAAGTGAGGTTTTACCTTGATATTTTGTGCGAAAACGATTTTTGAGACTCGTTGAAGTTGGAAACCCTTCGTTTTTCGACGAAGGGTTTCGTTGAATGATTCTTCGAAAAGCTTTGCGAAAATCGTTCGATTTGAAGTTTTTTCTGGAAGTTTTTGCTGCGATTTTGGTGAGAGAATAGAGGAACGGGAGGAAGAATGGAGAGAAGGCGGGACGGTTGTCGCAGTCACGTCTGCAATTCAAATTGTCAGAAGGAGAGAAGGCGTGATTACCTTTTTGCCCCCGCGTGTATTTAATTGCCATGATCTGACGGTTGGGAAGATGGCGCGATGGACGGTCAGATGGACGGTTACTGACCGTTACTGATAGGATCCGGACCCATTACTTATGTGTTTCATTACTTATACACCAAGTATCTTAGATTATTGTCGCCAAAAAGGAAAGTAACCTAATTGATCGAACATGGAAACTTGTACTGTAAGAATAGGGTTTACATAAAATAGGTCACTGACGAACAGAGAGACTCAGAAAAAAACTCCATTGCACCCAATCCCCTGAAGCCTGAAGTGATGGAACATCCTCCAACCCCACACAATGCATATCAGCTTCATCGACTGTCATCGTCGACGTCTACTACTACTAGTATGCAAGAACTTCAAAGAGGTGTCTAACTAACTAGCACATCTTTCTACACTTCTATTCTTGGAGCAATTCCTTTGCCTTCTTGACCCAAACAGCGTAGATTTCATCCGAGAACAAGACAAAATGTACCTGCCGAATTGAGAAAATGAGGTCAGTATATGAGTTCAGTTATATTCTAAATGTTTGCTGTATATGAAGGCAATGACTTGAAAAATGTCGCAAAATCAAGGTTTATGATAATGAACTGTGGCCTGTAGGGCTCATCGAACCGAAAATGAAACAATGTAGAGAATTTTGATACCTCTTTGAAGTCATTTGCAAATTCTTTGATCGTAGATATAGCCACATCAGCAGCTTCTTCAAAAGGATACCTGAAACAGTTATGAAGCAAAGAGAGAAGAGTTTTTTCAAGAGTCCAATCAACTTATGACAGGTCGGCCAGCCAGCCCCATAACAACACCCAAATCCTCAAATTTCGTACTTCTCATGGCTCCATCGAGTTGGTTCATCTGCAGAGTGTAGAAACTCTAAAAGACAAACCAACTTCGCCATTCATCAATTTTCTATACTTATCTCATCCAAACACAAATGAAGACAGACAGTAAAAAAGCAGGCCAATGTGTATCAATGAGGTCAATCTTACCCGTAAACACCACAAGATATGGCTGGGAATGCCACATACTTGATGTTATTATCTCTGGCAACATTCAAACTGTTCCTGCAACCATGGATTAACAAACTGAATTCAGCATCCCAAATTAGAACACCAGCTTTAAAGTGACATCAACAGACCCATACGACAGATGCTGTGCAACTGTTACCAACCTATATGCATTTGTCAGAGATGCTTTAGGGTTGTTATTAGTGTCATAGATAGGGCCTACAGTGTGAATGACATGGGATGCTGGCAACCTGAAGCCTCTGGAGACATATTCAACAACCCAAAGAAAAAGAAAAGAGGAGACAGAAGAATGAGTGATTGAACAGATGTGTCATAAAACGAGGGTGTTTCTTTAAAGCACCAAAGAAAGAGCATACGGGGTAATCCTTGCTTCTCCTGTTGGACAGCGGATACCATGACTCACTTCAGGGACCTTAAAGCAAGCTTCACGCAGTTCTGGTCCAGCAGCTCTATGAATAGCTAACAAAATCCACCGCCACTGAAAATGTAAAACTAAGAACACACTGAAAAATGAATTTCATGGTTATGTAAAGCTCAAAGTTACCTCCATCCGCACCACCACCTCCAAGCATTCTCTCATTTGCTGGGTTAACCTGATAGAACAAACAGCCACAGATTCAAATGAAAGGAAAACGACCCATTTCCATTGACTCCAAAGCTGTATAAACCCACATAACTAGGAAAAGAAAAATCAAGACCACTTCGATGAAGCATCAAAACTCATCAGCACGGAATTGAACAGGAATCGCCCAGGAGATCATCTTGAAAGATGGAGACAAAAGGGCGGAAAGGGAAATGAGAGTTACTTACAATGGCATCGGAGGAAGCATCGACGAACCACTTGGTGATGTCTCCTTTATTGATCTTCAAGACATTGGAGGCAGAGAGAGGGAAAGCAACAGCGGAGGAGTTGTCTCCAGCAGCAGAGGTGGCCATTGGTGAGGTTAGGGGTTGAGGAAAGGAAGTAGGACGGTGGCTGTGGTAGCGGAGGAAAGAGTAGGAGCGCGAGAGTCTGGTAAGAAGAGAAGACGACGGATGAAAGGTATGCGAAGAAGAAGACTGTGGGAGGAGGGAGGATTGCCGGGAGAGTGGGCGGGTGGGTTGTGATTGTAACAATGAAAAGAGGGCTCGTCTGGTCATTGATGAGAAGAAATCGTCCGTCCCCCTACTCCTCAATTCATTCTTCTCCTCCTCCTTCCCCAAACCCAGGTCAATGGAACCGCAAAAGTTAATATGCTAACTGCTCAAAGTGTTAGCAATACTAAGACCAACTCCAATGCAAGCCCCCAAATTTGGAATTCATCCCCATGTTTCCTTTTTTTTCTCCAATGCTACATCCTCTATATTTGGAGATCTCTATTTTTTAAGTTTTCCATTTACTTAAAAATGTACTTATCGAAGTCTTAATAAAATTTGTTCATGTTGATTTTTGTATAGTTCGTCATCATTTTTAAATACAAATTTTTCGGTAGAAATTTTTTAATTTTGAGACCAAATTTTTGTTGACAAAAAATGATTGACCTAATTTGGGTTTACACACAACACTTGAAAATTATTGATCTAATTACATCCCTAACTAATCCTCTAATTAAACCCCAATTAACCCTTAAAAAGAAAAAGAAATGCCACGTGGCGGGTTTTGGGGAGTCTCTATATTTGGGAGAACCCCCATTTCCACCCCCAAATTTGGGGATCCTTTTGGAGATCTCCCCCAAATATAGAGACTCCTCCATTTATAGAGGCTCCATTGGAGCCAACTTTCCCCCAAATATAGAGGCTCCCCCAAATATAGAGGCTCCATTGGAGTTAGCCTAACAGGGCAGGATTTTGGGTCACGTCGGCCCATGTTTCATCCAACGGAGGGGAGAGGCGGCGTGGTGGTGGCTCACTTAAATGAGCTAGAGGTGGGCCAACGTGTAGAAGCCGGCCCAGCATGCGGCGGCGACGGATCCGAGCAAGTGGCGTGGTGGGCTGGTGGGCCCGGCTTGAGCTTGGGCGGGAGAATGGATAGGAGTGGAAAGAGAACGAAAATTGATGGCCCCTTTGATATTTATGTATGTTTGTGTGGATATTTATTTGTTTTCAGTCGATATTATTTTCTATTGTGTTGATATTACTTTGCATCATTGTTGAAATGAACTAGTATTCTTTCTTCGCAAACCAATATCCATCATTAAACTAATGTTTAACGGCAGCCCAAAATAACCCAACCACCATAAACTGATTACACCAATTTATAGTTTAAGTTTTAGGGTTTAGGGTTATGGTTTTCAATTTGTGAAGGATTGGAATATTTTGTCTTACATCAAATTAAACACACTATCAAGTCCTAACACATAAGGCTTGCAACCATAGTTAGGGCTGCCCGCAGAGGGCCCATGGGCCGAAGGCCCATTAAATAGTTTTTATTGTTTATAGTTTATTTTTTACGGTTTATGGTATAGGTTTGGTTCAGGGTTTAGGATTTACGGTATAGAGCTTAGGGTTAAGGTTTCAACAATAGGGTTCGGGTTCTCTTTTAATCAGATAAGGTTTAGTCTGGTGAGTATGAATATCTATTCTTTCCTGATTATATTGTTTTTAGAGTTTATTTAGTAGTGTTCATTGCTTAGGGTTCGAGGTTAGGGTTTCTTGTTTCAATGTTTCATGTTTTATTTTACATATTTGTGTGTAACCTTTGAATAATCTCGGCTTGGGCAAACAATAATAATTATATTTTTTTAGTGTTTAGTGATTAGGGTTTTAGAGTTTAGAGTTTAGGGTTTAGGGTTTAGAGTTAGGGTACAAATAGAAGATATTAGTTGGTGTGTTGTGGATACTTGTCTTTCCTAGTTGTAATACTTTTTACTAAACACATGATATTTATTTAAACATTCTAATATTTTCCAGGTTGTGTGGATATTTATTTGAACCTGAGGAAATATTCCTTTAGTTCATGTGTTTAGATATTTGTGTGGAACCTTTGAATATTCTCGGCTTGGGCAAACAATAATAGTTTTATTTTTTTAGTTTTTAGTGATTAGGGTTTTAGAGTTTAGGGTTAGGGTACAAATAGAAGATATTAGTTGGTGTGTTCTGTATACTTGTCATTCCTAGTTGTAATACTTTTTTACAAACAACATGATATTTCTTTATAATATTTTGATATTTTTCCGGGTTGTGTGGATATTTATTTGAACCTGAGGAAATATTCCTTTAGTTCATGTGTTTGGATATTTGCGTGGAACCTTTGAATATTCTCGGCTTGGGCAAACAATAATAGTTTTATTTTTTTAGTGTTTAGTGATTAGGGTTTTAGAGTTTAGGGTTTAGGGTTAGGGTACAAATAGAAGATATTAGTTGGTGTGTTCTGGATACTTGTCATTCCTAGTTGTAATACATTTTACAAACAACATGATATTTATTTATAATATTTTGATATTTTTCCGGGTTGTGTGGATATTTATTTGAACCTTAGGAAATATTCCCTTAGTTCATGTGTTTAGATATTTGTGTGGAACCTTTGAATATTCTCGGCTTGGGCAAACAATAATAGTTTTTTTAGTGTTTAGTGATTAGGGTTTTAGAGTTTAGGGTTTAGAGTATAGGGTTTAGGGTTAGGGTACAAATAGAATATATTAGTTGGTGTGTTCTGGATACTTGTCATTCCTAGTTGTAATACTTTTTACAAACAACATGATAGTTCTTTATAATATTTTGATATTTGTCCGGGTTGTGTGGATATTTATTTGAACCTGAGGAAATATTCCCTTAGTTCATGTGTTTGGATATTTATGTGGAACCTTTGAATATTCTCGGCTTGGGCAAACAATAATAGTTTTTTTAGTGTTTAGTGATTAGGGTTTTAGAGTTTAGAGTTTAGAGTTTAGGGTTTAGGGTTAGGGTACAAATAGATGATATTAGTTGGTGTGTTGTGGATACTTGTATTTCCTAGTTGTAATACTTTTTACTAAACACATGATATTTCTTTAAAACATTTTGATATTTTTCCGGGTTGTGTGGATATTATTTGAACATGAGGAAATATTCCCTTAGTTCATGTGTTAGGGTTAGGGTACAACAATTGGATATTAGTGGGGGTGTTGTGGATATTTGTCAGTCTTTGTTGTAAATATGTTTTACTTATTTCTTGATTTTTGCTTGTATTATGTCGATATTTTTTTGGGTTTCTTGGATATTTGTTTGAACCTAAAGAATATTCATTTATTTTTTGTGTTGGATATTTGTGTGGATTGTTGAGATACTATTCGTGGTGGCGTGGATACTTGTTATGGTGAACATCTTAGTATGGGTGGGCCCCAATCAGTTTTGGGTGGGCTTTTGGGTCTTTTCAAAAAATTGGGGAAAAAAAAAGAAGTGATAGTGCAATTAATGCCACAACCACTTTTTCTCTCTCAACTCTCCCAACCCCTCCTTGTCTCTTCTTTTCTCTGAATTCCCTCTTCTTTTCTTCGACGGAAAAGTCGCCGGCGGCGGCCTGTCTCTTTCCTCTTCATCCTCCGCCGTCCAGGAAACGTTGCTGATGATGATCGATGATGAGGCTGAGTTAGATCGTCCATCAACGAGCTCTTCCCATGAAGAAGAAGAATTTGTTGATGGTGTATTAGAAGGTTTGACTCAAATAGATGGTGGTTGTGTGTTTGGCTTCGATGCAACAGTACAAAAAGAAGAAGGTGATTGTGGATTAACATATTTATAAGTTTGTGTTGTTGAGTTTTGGTTGGGAGCATTAAATGAAATTTAATGTCTTTGGTGTGAGTTTAATGTTTGTTGGTCTTCTGGGATTCTACTATGAGCTAGTTGGATACTAGTTACCTACTGTTTGTTGGACGTAGTTTGTAGCCTATGTTTAATTTGTATGGATACTAGTATGGGCATTTTTTATATTCATTCAATTATTGTGGATACTAGTATGTCGGATTATAGTGTGGATACATCGTTGGCGCAATAGGATACTAGTTTAAGATTCATGGATACTACTGTTTATGGATATTTGTTAGATGTATTCTGGGAATTATTCTGGGCACATTGGATACTAACTGGGAATGGAAATATCTCGCAGCTCACAACACTTCGGACCTAGAAGATGATGAAGCGAGGAATAACATCTTTTTTCGCTCTAAGGAAGAGTGTGTTCGTTTCTACGAACGCTATGCTCACAAAAAAGGGTTTGGTGTTCGAGTAGATTCGCAACATTTGAGAAAAAAGAAGAATTCTGAAGGAGAGGTGGTGGAAATTTATGCCTACCTTTATTATGTTTGTAATAAGCAAGGGTCATCGGAAGAAGTCAATGTTGAGAAACAGAAACATGGAGAGGATTCGGTTGTAGAGAGAAGCCGCCCTAAAAGAAAGAGGTCTCGAATTAGGGCTGAATGCCCCACCCTTGTTCGTTTCCGATGGGATGAGAATAGGGATGGATATGTGGTGCACAATTTCATTGGAGCTCACAATCATGATTTGCACTCCACCAAGCATGCTCACCTATTAAAGTCAAACAAGTCCGTGAGCGTTCCTCAAGGACTTGTTGCTGAAGCAAATCGCAATGCCGGGATGAGTCTTAGGTCATCGTATCAGCTATTGGCTGAGTGTGTCGGAGGGTATGAGAACTTGACTTTTACCAAATGTGATCAGAAGAACCATTTGAACTAGAAAAGACAAAAGACTATGTCTCGTGGCGAAGCGACTTTCTTGCTTGACTACTTTCAAGACCAAAAGGAGAAGTATCCCGGCTTCTTTTATGCTATAGAGGTAGATTGTGAGGAGAAAGTTGCCAATATTTTTTGGGCAGACAGTAGGATGCGTGAAGATTATGCACTTTTCGGAGACTCTGTCTCCTTCGACACCACCTTCCGAACCAATAAATACTTCCGGCCATTGGGTATGTTGACCACTTATTTTCCTTATTTTTTTGACACTTAAGCGGTTATGCATTGTTTTTAATACCAAGTCTTTTGCAGGGATGTTTGTAGGTTTCAATCATCACCGACAAACTTGTGTGTTTGGCGCTTGTTTGTTATATGACGAGACAACTCCTTCTTTTGAATGGTTGTTTGAAGCATTTAGTCGGTGCATGAAGAGGAAACTCCCAGTGACCATCTTCACGGATCAGGACGCCGGTATGGCAGCTTCCCTTAGAAAGAAGTGGCCATATGTGTTTCATGCCCTCTGTACTTGGCACATCTTGATGAATGCGAAGAAGAATCTTCGTAACAGCAAGAAATTTTGGCATAAGTTCCAAAATCATCTTGCTTATCATTTTTACTACGTCGACAGCGAGGCCGAGTTTGATGAGGCATGGAGCAGCATGGTTTCTGATTGTTTTCCCGGTAGTGAAACTGTCGATGGCCACCAATGGATGCAATATTTGAAGAAATTTCATCATCAATGGTGTTCCTTATATCTGAGAGATCAATTCACAGCGGGAATGTTGACAACGCAAGCCAGTGAGTCGTGCAATGCACAAGTGCGACTCTTCTTGAAACCGAAACATAATCTCGACGAGTTTTTCATCCACTTTACCTGGTACGTTATCCAAATACTAGATGAACATTTATGGATATTACTTAGAACCTTATGGATATTTTTAGATGCTTTTCTGGTATTTGTATGTGATGGTGTGATACATATTTTTTATTGTTTGGATAATTTCTCTTTTTGTATATGGATATTAGTCTGGGCAATTTGGTTTTCTTCATACATGCAGCTTGTTGGCTGACAAAAGGCGCAAAGAGACTGAGTCCGACTACGATGGGAAACAATCAGCCCCTTACATAGTGTTGGAGAAAAGCTCGATCCTCCAACATGCTGCCAAGATCTTCATGAAAAACATCTTCAACCGGATTCAAGAGCAGTATCTGGAAATTGAAGACTATCTAATTGAGCTTGTCCTAGATAATAGATATTATGGATTCATTAGCTACCGTACATATAAGATGGAGTATGGTGAGTGTAGCGATGAACGTGTCACTCCTGTCGATACTTCTACAGCCACATTGGTATGCGATTGTAGGATGTTTAGAACATTCGGGGTCTTATTTCGGCATATGCTTAAGGTGATGAGAACTATAGTATGCGGTTGCTTGGAGAGTTTGGGAACGATAGTATGAGAACTATTCCAGATCATTACATACTCAAGCGATGGACGTTGGAGGCGAGAAGGAAAGAGGTTTGTGATGCTGATGCTTCAGGCGATACTTCACATAGTCATGAGAACGAGACGGGAAAAGGAGATATAGCAATGAGGTACCGAGAAACCACTACAATGTTTAATCAGCTCGCAACAAAATTGTCAATGGCGGATGAGAAAGTGTACAACAGGTGGATGGGAGCATTGCAGAAAGTGTGCAAGGAGGCAAACAAGGTATTGTCAAAGACTATAACTAGCGAGGACGGTAAGTGTATCGAATATTTTTTGTAAATTAGTATAAGTTAATATCATTGGACGGATTACTTAAGCCACTAACATTGTAGTGAATTACGTACCAACAAGTGGCCTCTCTCTCAAGGAGAAGAGTAATCCAAGGAAGCACGGCAATGAACGTTATAAGTCCAGGAATGAGAAAGAGCGTCGTCGAAAGAAGATTGTCTATGGAAAGAGATTGAAAGCATTTGAAGTGCTCACGCAGGACACCCATTTTCAACATGATGACCATCTCACTGACTTGGAAGACGACCTTGCTGAATTTGGGTGTGGATATTAGTTTGTCAAACTCGGATATTTTGTAAGCAGGCTACGATATTTCTCTATGTTGTAAGGATATTAGTATGCATTGTAGGGATATGTCTTTTGGTTCTACAAATATGTTCTCTAAACATTCGGATATTTTTGTTATATTTTATGTATGTGGTTGTGTGGATTTTATGTATTTCCATCGCATATGCTCAGATTTTAGTTTGGGTGTTTTGGATATCACTTTGGGTCATATGATATACTTTTGTTGAAGGAAAGATATTCTTAATCCATCCTTGATAAAAAAAATCAGGGATATACTTAGTGTTGTCTACTTTAAACTAATAAAGTGAGCAATTTAATCAACATAGTTAGTGTCTACTTTTGTCCAAAAGTTACCAAAATAACATAATCACCTTAAATTAATAAAGCGAGGGATCAATATAGAGTTAGTGTCTCCTTTTCTCCAAAACTTCCCAAAATAACCCAATCACCTTAATACCTTAACATCAACATATGTCCCATGAAACACAAGGAGGTAAGTTTCAGCTACTCTTCCCTTTCTCCTTATCTGCTGCCCACTCATTTGCCTCCTCAAGTATGACATTCCTTACTTTGTTGTATTTCCATTGAAGGAGACTGTCTGCAATGGATGCTCGCTGGTGCTCCACGTGCTTTGCCAAGTGCCAAGTTTCCTTGTATTCCGATGTAATGTGACCCGCCCAGTGCTCCATGAACATGCATGCGAACACTCCACAGTCATCGTTTCCTTTTTGTTGAGGAACATCCGCAATTAAGAATTCCCAATCATGCAAGGGAGCATCGATGTTGTGCTTTGCAAGGAAAGCAGCCCCATACTCTAATATCAATTTCCCCATGGGACTGTGATCCACCTTGGCCACTGCTGGCTTGGGTTTTATGCTATCCAGAAGGAAAGTCCTTTGACTCCTTATATCAGCAGCGTAGACCCGGTAGTGATGGTCTGTATGCACAGGGGAAAAAAACTGAAACATAGAAAAAAATCATTTATTCTCTCGGATAAATATCCCAAAAACCCAGACTAGTATCCAAAACTAACATTTTAGATATTCACAGGCAAATCTTCAAACAAATCAATTTTCTCTCGGATAAATATCCAAAAAACCCATACTAGTATCCAAAACTAACATTTCAGATATTCACAGGAAAATCTTCAAACAAATCAATTATTCTCTCGGATAAATATCCAAAAAACCCAGACTAGTATCCAAAACTAACATTTCAGATATTCACAGGCAAATCTTCAAACAAATCAATTATTCTTTCGGATAAATATCCAACAAACCCAGACTAGTATCCAAAACAACGTAAATCAATATCAAGATAGAATAATGATTCACTTACATATTCTAATTTGTCCCATGCAACACGTTTGAAGACTGGAACCCGCTGGGTCACTTCAACGACAACATCGAGTCTCTCCTTGGATGGGGGCACATTCGTCTGAGAATTAAGGATGGCAAGTTGCTGTTTGTAAAGGAGAACAATAGCTAATTAGTTACTGGATATCTAAATATTGTAAGGTGTGAGTGAAGAGCCTACTTACACCAAAAGTGAACGGAAAGATAACTCTGTTCTTGTCACCAGCAAGTGCTTTGTCGATCAAGAAATGACCATAAGCCTCAACCACTTGGATATTGACCCACTCTAATCGCTTCAATGTCAACGATGAAGACGGGCGAGTTTAATTGAAGGAGTGTGCACCACCAAGCCCTTAAACTCAGGGGTACTGAAGACGAACTCAACCATACAACAAGCAACTGGGTCGAGCTTTGTCGACACATCCTTCGACAAATAATATACTGATGAAGAAGCATATGGGTTCTTCTTCGACCTCTCGAATGCTGGGGTCTTTAGTGTTGCAAGCCATTCCTCAGGTGTGTAGCTGTACAGACGGTCTTGTTCCTCCTCATTCATATTCGTCTCATGTGTGATAATCACATCCGGACTCCTCTCGGCGCTATTACAAGCCGCTTCTACCAACTCCTCGTCTGTAGGCAACATTCCCATCTCTGCAAGTTGGGAGAACGACTCCACCACATCATGAGTAGTCGTCTCTAGAAATTCCTCCCTTGTAGGTGGGTCTTCTTCCTCGGCATTAGCAGTTGTAGTAGCCTCATGAGCTATCTGCATAATTTCCTCAAAAGTGGTATCTGGGTCTGTATAGTGTATCACCATAGGGACTGTCGGCTCAAACACCTCCTCGACCGGTGTCTCTACAGTCTTCTCTGCTTCATTCTCCACCACCTCAAATCTATTCTTCTCTTCAGGATCTTCTTCACACATCTCTCCAGTTTTCTCCACTTCTGGCTCGACCTGGTCCTTCTCTAGAGGCTGCTCATCCATTTCCATTTTAGCTTCAGGATTCTCTACTTGGTCTTCCACCACCTCTGTTTTAAGCTGCTCTAGCACCGCCTCAACAGTATTCTCCAAAGGTCTCCTCTTGGAATCCACGACCTTGCACCTGTCATGCTCCTCACTCTATTCTATCATCTATCCCAGTTTTGTGGCAAAGTCCACCAATTTTCCCAAATGTCGGTCAATCGAACCACCTAGTACCTTAAGCTGGAAGACAAACGAACATTTTGCGCAAATTAAAAACTATCAACGCACATGTATCCAGTATAGTATCCAAACTGCTTGTGCAATTATCACATGTACCCAGAATAGTATCACAAGAGAGCGTACAAATATTCAAGTTGGCAGAACTGATATCCAAAAATGACAAACAGCGATTTCACAAAAATATCCAAATGCATAACATTAATATCCAAACCTCACAAACCAATATTCATAACTGAAAAGAAACCACAAGCTGATATCCAAATGAAACCAACAAATATTCCAGAACAACAAACTAAAATCCGACTAATATCCAAAGCCATTCCAACATGGCATCAAATTCACGGAAAACAGTACAACCCCCCACCAAACAACGGAAAATAGTAGATCAAATTCACTCTTGCTGTTCAAAATTCCGGACAACCGTTTGGACCTTGTCCCTTCGAGCCACCCACTTTTCAATCATGCTCTCAGTCATTTCCTTCAATCCCTTAAGCTACACATATGTTGTGAAATATTTAGGTTACTATATCGTCCAAGTCTACCAATGCACTATCTTAGTTAGGGAGGAAGAAAACATTTTACCTGCCCTAGCGAAAGGCTAGTCAAATCTTCAGTCTCCCACCATTCCGCGGTGGGCATCGGTGCACGATCTGGAGGAGGAGCTGAACTGCTGGCAGCTGCTGCACTAGTACCCCCAATAGCCACCGGCTGGAGCTGCCTGTGAGAGGCGATTTCTTCCCTACTCAGCAGAGCGGCAGCTAGGTCATATCTTCCCCTGACTAAGGGGATAGATGTGCTTTCCCTCTCGACACTTTGCTTCCACCAAAACCGGCAGCTAGGTATAGTCTTTGTGTGCAACCCGCCTAGTTTTAGAGAGTCCAGCAGATGGATTTGTAAAAAAAAATTACAATTAATAAATGTTAAGCGCCATTTCTAGCAATTTAATCAACAAATATCCATTCTCAACACAAATAGTATCTTATGTGACTAAACTGATATCCAGAAATCATTACAAGCTAATTTCTTACAAAACAAAGAGTATCCGAGTTCAGTTAGATGATACCCAAATATGAAATTCAATAGTTTTCATGCAATTGAACCAACAATTGGAAGAAAAGGTTAGGACTTACTATCAAGAAGTAGCAATCTCCGAGAACCCACACGCACGGCGAGTCCAACGCCTTTGCACTATGTTCTTTTTTCTTGGCAACAATCAACTCTACTTTCAGTTCACGGACAATAAATGTACACCAATCGTACACCCTTACGTCCTCAACACTCCCACCTAGGTAAGGGGCAAAGTCCAGCTTGCACCTCCGAGAAAATGTTGGCACGAGCATCGAACCAGTAGCTAGCAACAAGAATTGCTTGACAGCAATAGGTGTTCTAGGACCGTTGGCTGGAATGGGCAACTCCCGCAGCTTCTTGATAGGAACCATGCGAGCCCTGTTAGGAATCATGCCAACTTCCTCGCTGAAACTATCGAGCATCCCCCCCCCCTCAACGTTCTTCAAATCAATCACAGCACCACCGAGAGGAAGGTCGTACACACGTGCCACATCCTCAGGTGTGAAGTCGAACACCTTCTTCGATTCTCATTCCCCAAAAACAAAAGTACTGGTTGAGGGGTCATAAGCAGCCATCAAGTCGTCCATGAAGACATTGGGAATCTTTGGCATGCGAAGTTCCAATAGGCCCCCGAATCCTGCCTTCTCGACTTCTTTCTTGCATGCTTCATAGTATCCAGCATCTTGTTTCCAGTAGCTTATAATTTTGAAGAGGGAATAGGTGGAGCCACGAAATCTGAAGTATGAGCCGCAGGGTCCCTCTCCCTCATCATCTTCTTCCTAATCTTCCTCCTCACCTTCTGGAATAGCAGGTGGCGGCTTCCTCGATCCTTCTTCTTCACGAGATCTCGGTGCAACCATTTTCGATCTCTTCCTCTCGGGTTGTTCCTGAAACACAGTTATATATTAAGCAAAATATCCATAATCCTTGGACAAATAACTAAAACGAACAGTTAAATATCCACAGACCCAGAATCTGGTAATCTAGAAACAAAACCCTAAACAACCATATTCGAATCCATGAAACCCAAAATCTACAAATCGAGAAACGAAACCCTAAACCCCCATATTCGAATCCCACGGACACAAAATCTGGTAATCTAGAATCAAAACCCTAAACACCCATATTCGAATCCATGAAACCCAAAATCTACAAATCGAGAAACGAAACCCTAAACCCCCAAATTCGAATCCCACGGACACAAAATCTGGTAATCTAGAATCAAAACCCTAAACACCCTAATCGAATCGCATGAACCCTAAATTTTGAAATCGATAAACAAAATCCAGATTTCCACAAAAAAATCCATGAAACCCTAACTTACTATCCACAAACAAAATGCACAATAAAGAGAGGAGAAGAAGCTAACCTGAAACCAAAGCGATATCCTTCTTCGTCGGCGGTCGTCTTCCTTCTTCGTCGGCGAAGTCCTCGTCTTCTTCTTCCTTCTTCGTCGGCGGCGTCTTCTTCCTCGTCGGGATAGCTTCAACGTCATTGTCGGCGTGGTTTCCAAGAAGCAGTCGCCGACCTCGCAGCCGTCGTCGCCATCGCTTTTGTTGGTGGTGGTTTTCGGGAGAAGAAGAAACAGAGAGGGAGAGGGTTCGAAAGTTTTTTGGAGAGAGAGGGGAGAATGGAAAACGCGGGTTGAGGGAGAGAGAATCGGGTTTTGGGTTTGAAAATTTGGGTGTTTTTTTTTCTGGCCCCACTTCTCCCAAAAGTGGCTCGGCTTGGGCAAAAAAGTCTTACACCCTCACATCACAGCGCCGGCGATCCCTCACCCTCCGATGGTGGCAACGCGACATGGACATTCATCCCACCCTGTTAGTATTTGCTAACAACTTAAAGGGTTAGCAGCATAACTAGATTGCAATGGAACTGTACAGGGACAACAAACGCGTCTTCTCGAGTGTCGACCGTGATTTTTTTCGGTAGAAAGTAGAAACACATTCTATTGGTTTAGCAGACCATAAAAACTCGTCAATAAACCAATAACTCATAAATTAAAACTTGGTTACTATGGTAATTACTTAATCAAATAAGTATAAATTTTATTAATCATGGAGTACAATATTATAACCAAATCGTCCAAATTAATAAAACAACAACATTAAGCAAACTAAAGTTTAATCGGTTGCTTAATTGGTTAACCGAAATAACCAATATAACATCACATTTCATTCAATGAGAAAATTTTCCGCTTAGTGCATCAATTTGCAATTTATATTGTGAATAACACATAACAATCAACACATAATTATATTTACCACTTAACCATTGAATATAATATCATAACCAAATCGTCTAAATTAATAAAACAACAAAATTAACCAAACTAAAGTTTAATCGGTTTGGTTAATTGGTTAACCAAAATAACCAATATAATATCACATTATCATTAAGTTAGAAAATTTTTCGGTTAGTGCATCAATTTACAATTTATATTGTGAATAACACATAACAATCAACACATAATTATAGTTACCCCTTAACATAAATACATGTAACAAATAAAATTATCCTACATTTGACTCTTGAGTGCTTATGCAAAGTATTAAGTATAAATATATAATAGGTGGCTACTTCGGTGCACTCGCTTTTTTGGATGCATTGACTCTAAAAGTGGTCATAATACATCAAATTTTGACCTTTATTGGGTAGTATTAGTCTAATATGATGATATAACATAGAAGCACAACTAATCAATCTATTACCCTAACTCTTTAATCTTCAATTTTGAATCCCAACCCTAAATCCCTAAATCCTTCAAATTAAAGTAAATCCTGAATGATTTTTTTTTCAAATTCATATGTTTCTTGTTCATAATATCATAAGTGATGATTGATAGTGTTTTACTATGAATCACATGCTCAGAATGACGATTATGAGGCGAGTGCATTGAATGCACCCAAAAAAGTGGGTGCACCGAATACGCCACCATATATAATATATTAGATATATGGCTAAAGGCTAATTACTTAACTGGTTAATTTGGTTTGATTGGTTCGGAGTGTCTGAAACCAAACCACCTAAACCAAACAAGCTAAAAATTTTAACAAACGATGTTACTCAGTTCACACCTCTTCAAACAATGTTCGAACGAGGGTGTTCTATGCATACATCAAAGGAACTGCCTACTTTTACCTCTACTCCTATGGAGATTCCTTGAGAGCTCTGCAACTACTGACTACAACTAAACAGAGAAGCCTCGTTGGAGGGTCCCCGGTGCTACTGCTACGGTTACTGTTCTAGAGAGAAAAGATAAATTTCTACGAGACTTGTTGTGGTATGATTTGTCCGTCCTTCGTCTAGAGTCTTGCTGCCAGTTTTGTTGTGCCTCACCCTCTAACCGCCTTCTCTCTCTCTTCCCAAAAAATCAGCTCCACGTAGCATCTAGTAACTTCCCCGAGCGTTCTTTGCAAGTCAAGTGCTGCTTCTGGTAACCACCTCAACACGTCATCATGTCACTTGACCATTGGACAGTCACCGTACACAAAAAAAATTGGATGGTATCCATGTTGACTAAGAAAACAGTCCATGGATGGTACGCATATTAAATGGTCACCATACCCTAGCATCATCCATTAGGGTTTGGACGGTATCCATTACATTGGACAATACCATCCATTATGGATTTTGGATGGTATCCATGTATTTGAACACTACCATCCATTATGGATTTTGGATGGTATCCATGTATTTGGACACTACCATCCATTATGGATTTTGGACACTAATTAAATTGGTCAAGCTGTTCATGCAAGCAATAATTAATGAAAATTATTTTGGTGTAAACAAATGCCCACCACAACTTAGTCTATAAGAACTAATTCTTATGAACTAAGTTGTTGACACCAACTATACTAGATTCTCAACCACTTGAAGCAGATGTTGGCTTTATGTAGCCATGTCTAAGTCACATAAGGAATGTAATTCCTTCCTGACCATGTAAACAAAACACACCAAGAGGGTGTCCCTCTCCAACTCGGCTAATAATCCAATTTTTAGCCAATTAATGTAGCCTACCTTTTCCTTTTGTGATAAGGAACACAAATTCTTTTTCATGTAGGACACACCTCATAATCCATATCCTACTAGCAAGAGGAAACTCATTCCTATTAGGGCAGAATTAAACTTTTCTCTATAAATTGATGCTCCCATTCACCATAATTCACAACTCAAAAAGTATCACCGTACCTCCAAAGCTGTGCGATGCTTCCCCATGGCAAGGCTCTTGCTACTGCTCGGCCTCAAGTCACCAAGCTCAGGTACTCCTCCTCTCAATCATGGATGATTACTCGGCTAAACTCAATCACAATCCATATACAACATGGACGATGTCCTTTTGCTTGGACAACACTATCCATGCAACCACTTAACCAAACCATAGTTACAAATTACTTAAGGCCAACCATCCTTGGCTTCTAGTAACATGGATGATACAATCTATCCAGAAGGTGGCAAGGTAACCATGTTTTGACTCAACCATCCAAACTATCTATTTGGACGGCAACAATTTTGCTTTCGAGAAAAACAAATCCCTTTTAATGGCCAATCCAGAAAAGATTTGTCCTGGCCATCTCACTCCTCGGCCATGTTGCACATCTTAGAAACCATGTCAACTTCAACTAGGTCTCCGTCTGCAATTGGCCGGCATCTAAATTACTAACACTCCTTAATGTCCCAAAGGGATGGTACATATGGCATAAAGTACTTGCAATTAATATATGACTCTCATAAGTTGGCACTTATAAAAGTTGGACGAGGATCGTCCTCCATGCCAAGATTGATATTCTCCAACACATCACATGAGGCAATGTGCTTTCCGTCTTCTCCTACCTTGCTTGAACTCTTTTCTTCCAATAATACTTCATCATCAGGTACACAGTCAGCCATCAACACAGGCTCTATATACATAAGCCTTTGTTCACATTGGTGTATGGCCAACTTTTCTTGCAAGGGCGCAATTTCGGCCTCCTCTGCCACTCTTGTATGGAGTGGTTTACTCATTTATGGATGGTGTCTCAGCTTGGGGTGGACCATCCACAACAAACATTGATGGTCTCACTATTTCAGACAGAGGGTCAACACATTGTTTGCTCAACACCTTTGCACTAGACATCACCATGGTACACGATCCATCATCCACTGTCTTGATCTCCAGAGGGCCAAAATCCCCATGGTAAAGGGGAGCTTCCGCTATATTGGCTCCAACAGCAAATGGTTTGGTGTCAGCTCGTACCACTTCAACCACACCCTTCCTGTTCCAGAACATTAAGCACTGGTGCAACGATGACGGCACACACTTATTAGCATGTATCCAGTCTCTACCAAGCAAAGCGTTGTAGCTGATTGCTCCATCAACGACAAAGAAAGCAACCATTCTCCTTGGCTACCCACTCTAACAACTACTGGTAGTCTCCCC